GGGGGGGGACCACTGATGGTGGCCGAGATAATGTAACAACAGATGGCGAAGGGTGGTAAGGATCGTCAGAAATAAATTCATTCAGCCGTTCACGTTGACAAAAAATGCAGCAATAAACGTGAGCTACGTGGAGCATAGGTGGAGATAACAGGGATGAAGGATCATAAGGGTGTAGGGAGTTAGGGCCACAGAGTCAACCCTGCGTTGCGCAGTTCGCAACGGCACGTTGAGAGATCCTCAACGCACGCTGTATGGGCGGAGACGCAGACGGCTCGAGCATGCGAGTGTGAATGTTCGCGCGAGAGAACGTGTCTAATCGGGCAAAACTGCGCAACGTGGCCGTTGAAAACTGCGCAACGCAGGGTTGACTCTGTACGGACCTCTACGATGATGGTGTATGGTCAGCACCAACAATAATGACGAATTATGATAAAGTGGTAACATGTGGTTATAGGTACAATGGGGCAATTTGATACATTCACGCCGGCGGCAGCCCATATGGCCTGCCAAGGAATGTGCTCTGGGACGATGGCAGCCCATATGGGCTGCCAGCTGATAATCGCTTGCCAGGCGCTAGGAATGGACAGATAGGTTAAACCTCGTAATCGAGTGTAAAATGCTTTTAAATTCCTTCACGGGGAAAGTGAATAAATGCTCTCTTTTCGTAACCACTATTCGTCGTTCTGATCGAAATCCTACTGTTATATGTTTAGATAATCTTTACGCATTGGACATTGCAGAAATTATTTTGTGACATTCATGTTTTTGTTCATTTACAGTACAAAATCTGCGGATGTGTGGTGAGGCGGCGGCGCCCACAAAATCGCGTCCGTCCCACGCGACCGAAAAGTGGAAAAGGGGCGCCGTCGTGAATGTTTTAACGGTAGGGGCTGACATTGTAAACTCATACTAATGACAAATTAAACGAGATGATAACCATAAACTCAGAGAATTTTTGAAAAATTCTGAAACGAAAAAGAATATCACTTGAAAAATGAACCAACCGTAGATAACTGTGACGATATTTGAACGCCACGTGGGAACGAACGATCGAACTGGATAACAGCCGGATCGAGAGGGTAAGAAGCAGGAACAAGTACACGCAATGGAGGACATAACAACTGGAAATAATTAAAAAATAAAGTCAGAACAATGAGACAAGGAAGTCACAAACATGGCAACTGCACGAAATTGATAAGTGTCGGTCTGAAAGAGTGGAAAAGCGTTTAGTAAGATCCAAACAGAATTTGGAAATCATTAATTATTGGGTTTTTGAAATGATGGGACTTGGGGTAGTGAAAGAAAATAAGATGATCTAGTTACACAGCTAAGACCCACCAAGTCCGAATCGAAACAAATCACAGCGTCAGGACTATGACTGGAAGCCGGTAAACAGTCTGTATCTACTCGCCAGGGCAGCTCGTTCAACTCGCGCGAAGCCGCTACTGACATTCGCCACGGCTGACGGGTATCGAAGAGGCAATCAATCTGCAGAAAAAAAATACTTCAAAGAAAAATGTTAGTTAACCCACTGAGATATCTCTCACAGATTCAGTCGGAGGACTAAATGTACAAAAGCAAAGCACTTGAGCCATTTTAACCATATCGGTAACGAACCTTTATTCGCATATTTTCATCTTCTGATGGATCAGTATTTCGTTCTACTTGAGTGGAATCTTCTGTAAACCTCATAATTAACAACAACTACCATAAAAAATCTATGTGCTAATTTCTCACCAAGCTTTTCTACTTTCGCTTCAATTCCAGAATCGCTGAAATCTGAAGGAGCAGGACGTTTCAGTGATGATCCTGCTGTTGATGACTTCACTGCACCAACATCGGCTGCGGATTCATCATCAGAATTGCCCAGATTCGCTAGGTGTTCAGGCACCCTGAAGGGACTGCAGCATACGCAGCAGTGATAATATCAATGCAGAAACTTTGAATATATGGAAAAAAGGAGAAAAAAAGGAATGGTTGAAGCCAACCCTGCACTAGCATAAAAAATTACTTGATCATCAAGTGCCGAACAGATCTCCATGGATCTAGAACAGCTTGTGGAGGGTTTGGCTGAGATGAAGGACGGTGATCATCGTTAACACCAGCAGCGAAAACGGACGTCTGCCCTTCGGCTTCGATTTGCCGCAACGTCTCAATTACTGGATACGTGAGGCTCGACCGTTCCACTATCGTGCGCACATTGCCCACGATTTTTTCCAGCAATGACTGCGAAACCCTCCTGAATGCAGCAACGTCCATTTAAACGCTTAAATAATAGCAAAAAAGCTAGTAGCAAAAAAATCTTATTTGAAGATGTTACTCAAAAAAGAACCATTCATGTACTCAAAAAGAATGAAATGATAAACAACGAATAGGACTGGAGATCCAGACGACCACATGAAAGAGCTTTCATACCTCTTCCGATCCAGGATCTCCATCAACCTATCGAATCCTGTCGGTTTTGGGCTATTATCCAAATCACACCGATCACCGATACGCTTCAGTTTCTCATAATATTGCTCCTTCAAACTTTCCACCTAAAATAAGACCATCAGTCGAAAAGTCATGACAATTTCAAAAAATTCACTGCGGTCAGAACAACTACAATAGCAATCGAAAAGAGTCTTACCAGGTCATTATATTCCTTTGTGTTCTCCTCTTGACTTGGAACCGAGCCCGGTTGCTGACTGCCTGGACCAACACTACCAGGCTGCACAGAGGAAGGATTCTCTATAACAATTTTCTTCTAATGGAACTTCATATAAAATGCAAATAAAAATACAAACGTAACAATGATGTCAGCGCAGAAAATGAAAATGCGACAAATAAATAGAAAGAATAAGATAGAAGGTGGAAGAGCGGCAGACTTACGGGGAGTTGACGGCTGAATGGACGTTACTGGCGAATTCGACATGCCACCTGCAGGGCCAACACCTGACATATGCGGAGAACCAACAGCCATTTGATGACCACCAAAAGATGAATGCACCTCAACATGTGAAAATGAAAACTGACAAGGTGTAAACATGCGAATTGTGCACTCTATAAGCCGCAAAAGCGTTGTCAACCTAGACCATCTTGGTTGGCATAGCGATCACCGCTCCAGCCTAGTGGTACTTGCCAGAAACTGTCTAATCGGGAACTTTAGTCTACAAATTAGAGGAGCCGTGAATAGGAGCTCATTCGGCGATCACTGGCTTCTCGACTTCAAGAAAAAGTGATGAGATCAGTGAAAAACCATTTAAGACATGGTACTTTACATAGAACTGTCGCCATTGACATTAAACGTCGTCGTAGTGACAGGAGTTCCAACAATACTACAGCCACTATGTTGCCAGAAAGCCACTTCAAGCGCATAATACTTCAAATCATTCATATTCTCACTTGTGGACTAGCTCCAGCACCTATATGACCAGATGACTGCGGGTTCATTGACGATGCTGACATCATTTGCTGTGGACCAACACCCTGACCACCGGCCATGTGACTAGCCATTCTCCTTAACAGGTATAAATAGGATACCAACATCCAATCAGAAAAAAATGAACTTACATTTGTTGCGTTGGCATAGGAGCCGACGCAGGACCAGACATGCCAGCGCCTGACATTGGTCCGGACGAAGATGCCATTACTGATGCTGGTTGCTGCTGCTGAGCATATACACCAGGACCAGCCGGAGCTCGTTGTCCGCTTGGACCTACCATTACGCCGCCTTGACCTGAAACCAATCCAAAGCATAGGCATAAATTCGAATCAATTTTTTCCATTCAATATTCTTCTCTCGGATTCATTCACTTCCACTCAGAATAAGCTCTAAACCGTCACACAATTCCAGTCAGTCGGGCCAGCGCTAACTGTTCATGTTCTGGATCGCCCCTTAGTGTCCATTTTGCACTCTATCCAGTCAAATGTATAAAATTGAATTATAGTAGCGGTTGATGACTAGGACAAAATCACTACACACGATGCGCGACTTCAAAAGGTGTTGGCCGCATCTCCGCACAGGAGCGCTATTTGATGAACAGTTTTTTCGTGTCCCACGCTGTAAGCTGACACCAACCCATCATTTGTTGATGCATCATAGCACCTTGTCCGTTCGACACCATCTTCGACTGTTGTTGTTGTTGCATCGTGTTGAACTGAACCAAAGTTTTCACTTCCGCAGTTTAACAATATCCGAAAAACTATCGAAACATCTCGCAGGAGACTAGTGCTCATAAAAAATAGCAGTGCACTTACCCTCCGCACGTATGTTGAGAAAAGCTGCTTTTTGCGCTCTTGGCTCTGCTCAACGTGAATTTCTTGCTGCCAGTGAGGTGGGAAACGTGACATACTGAAACGGAACAATGCGTGCAGAGTTCAGTGCAAAAGTTGATAGACCAGATACATCAAACAAAACTCACTAGTACTGATATTGCTGCTGTTGTTGTTGTTGTTGCTGCTGCTGCTGCAACAGCTGAGCTTGTTGCATCTGTGAAGGATGACCGTACATCGGCTGCCCAGGAACTTAAACAGGTTATTAGGAGAAAGATCAGATTTACAAAAAGATGCACTCACTGCTACGACCAGTGTTCACCACGCTAACCGCGACGAACAAAAAACTCAAACACTCTTTCGAAGTAGTTCAAAAATTTGGAAGAATGTTTTTGTGCACATGACGAAGAAAGAAGTTGGGCCGGCTCCTCTAAGCTCGCTTTCACCTCTTTTACCTTCAATACCACTAAGCCAGCGATCACAACTAAATCCAGCAATAGTTTCTTAAAATTTAAGACTTTGATGACAGCGGGGATGTTTTGATTCCTTTCGGTCGCGTGAGACCGGTGCGATTTTGCGGCGCGATCACATCACAGCCGCCTTTTGAGTGATGAATACACGAAACATAAATGTCTCAAAATAATTAACAATGTTTCAGTAATCCGTTGATACAATAATGAAATACCGTGACGACGTAATAAGTCAAAAAGGGAGCAATTTTCTCTTACGCTTGGTCTAGTACGTCAAAGGCATTTTTGTCGTGGCTCTCTCAAGAAAAAATACCTTGCCATTTTAATGGGTTGGTACTCACTTCCACTACTCTTTCAGGTTACAACAGAACAAAAGGAGTAGTGAATGAACTAATCTGACATGTGCGTATGACTTGGGAACTCTGCTAGACTAAAACATACTTGGTTATAGAACCACACCGTCTATAATTCTGGCAAAATATGGTCTATACGAGGAACATAAAGAAAAAAAACTTTGGAAGGAGCCGAACATGACCGAAAAAATGAATTATATGGGTGTTGCATACATAATTTCCGCGATGCCCTACTTGACCCGCCAAGGGCGGCACACATAGCTGCCGCGCTGTCGTCAGTGTGCTAATAAATTTCCATCACCGTCTCACTCTACTGTTAGCAGCGGCTACAAAGTCACTGTCAGGTGTTACAGGTTACAGTTTCTGAAACTTTAAGTGAAGTCAAACCGAATATATTACGCAATCTTACCTTGAGAGTTCATCATCCCAGGAGGCGGTGCATACATCTGCCGCATTCCAGGCGCTGCTTGCCCAGGTTGACCCATCACCTTAATGCAAGAGAATTTATCTTGATATTTTTTCTTTCGCCTCCGAGGAAAGATTAATACCATTACAATTCGATTCCCACGCTTCATTCAGAGGGTGATAAATTGAAAGCTGCTGAAACTCTGCTCTGCACCCCGCCTTCGCCCTCTTACTGCTCCAAATCGCAATCACTTCAGAGGCAGAGAACAGACTATTAAAGAAAACAAGCAGAAAGCATTATCCCTGTTGTATGAGGCGCCTCAGGTTAGTCCAAGGGAGACATCATAGTCGAAGCTTCCATTAAGATACAATCACTACTGTGAATCAACTAGCAAGACCATAACAACTGCATAGCCTTGCAAAGTAAGGAAAACTGGGTTGAACGAGAAGGGTAAACAAAAACATTAGGAGCGCAAGAAAAAATAAGGAGCATTGTGCCTACCGTTTTTGAAGATTTCATCAGACAATCATTCTTCAAACAAAAATTACACAGAAAACAAAACAGAGCAGATAACTCACTATGCGCTGCTGCTGCATCATTTGAGCTTGCTGTTGAGCTTGCATTGGAGGCATAGCACCGGATGGCTGTTGCTGGACGTACTGACCCGTGTAATTCATACTGTATTCTTGGTTTCTAATTCCAATACAGAGCTACCCGTTGAGAAGAATAAAGAATAAAAACAGTGACAGTATTATGAACTTCTTGCGATGAGTTCGGCTTTCCACCCGCCTTGACGCACACACAGACAATCCGAGGTGGACAGCAGCTAAGTGATGTGCGATGAATGCGAATCAACGCACAAACGAGTAGGCGAGGACGGTTTTTTGGCAAAACCCCTGCAATGAAGGATTACTTATGAAAAGGAAAACGAAAAAGAACTAAAGCAAACTGTAAGTTATCATCTGGAATTATTCAACAGATACAAAAGGCGAAATACCTCCAGAATAAATTTATAAGTCGTCGAAGAGCGCGCTGAATTTTTTTATCAAGATCAACAAACAACGTAACAACAATGTAACGATATGGCTACTGTAATTCCATAAAACTTGGATAAAACATAGCAAACAAACGCAACAACTTCAAAAACTGTTACTACGAACTATTAACTAACAAAAAAGTAGCATTAGCAACAAAGGTTTAGGGTTTCTTACAAATAAGGCCGCAGTCACACTTTGTCATCGTCCGATCGCAGAACCGAATGTGGTAAAGATACAAATCGATCGCCCGATCGTCCAACCCATGCGATTGTGCGATCGCATGGTCAATAAGTATCTGCTTCCTACTCGGTTGTGCGATAGGTCCGATCGGACGATGTCAACCCATACCTGCGGCCTATTGGGCCACAAGTGGCACTGTACAAGTTCGATCTACTCTGGAAACCGAGACCAACCAGATCACAGCATATACTTAGAACCGCCTTCAGACACCTGCTCCGACTTCACCTTCTTTTTCTTCTTGGTCGTTTTCTCTTTGATTTCCTGAAACAATACACACGTCTCATTTTAATACAAAATGGATTTACACAAGCTGACATGCAGAAGTACGCGCAGAGCTTCATTCACTTTATAGCTGATACTTCCTTTTACCCACGGCTCCACATGAATTGAAAAATGTAGCGACCACTCAACTACTTTTCCAAATGCTAACGTTTTACACATATCCGCTCTTACAACGACTGATTCTGCTCAGGAATACCACACGCCAGCCGATTCCCAAGAATAGCCTTTCTCGACTTGAAATAAATCTTAGTTTCGCAGGGTATACGATATGTCAGAATTACCTCACAATACTTATGGTCGTATCGAAATACAATGAAACCTCAAATAAATATAGATCAATGATACATTGAAAACGAAGTTCGAAGCGATTGCAACAATACGCGAGCACATAGTTGAGTACTGAAGAACTGAAGTGAGCAAGAACCGCATCAAAATATGCAAAATGTATTACAGTAACGCCGCTCAAGTTATACCATGCTTAAAATCACAAGTCGTAGAAAGGTTCGAAGATGTTGTAGAGAAACAACTCACGTTTCGTACAGTTTCCTGAAGTTTTGTGAAGAACGCTGAACTTTTCAGCTTGTCACCATTTGCCGCTTCTTTCTCATCAGTCGATTTCTTCTTTTTCTTCTTCTTTTGATTCTCAAGGGCTTTGTCTTCACCAAACAACTCAACCAAAGCCCTGTTAACGTTAAATTAAAGATTAAAAAGGAGCAGAGTCTGTGTAATGTTTCTCAAGTGGAACTTTTCTAGACCACGCGAAGACATGGCGTGAAAGTTTTCTTATAAGCATCTGTACATACCTCTGGTGGTTTTTCTTTTTTCGGCGTTGTCGTAATTTGTCCGTACGATCACGTTCTTCATCGGCCTTCAAATCACCTTTCTGCCGTTTCTTCAGTTCTTCGGGGGCGAGAAGCTGAGCGTCCGTCGACGCGCTCATACCGACCTCCTCAACTCTCAAAGCCGGCATGTTCGATACAACTCGAACTTCGGGTCTCACCTCAAATTTCACCATTACATTACAATACATACAAATTTAACTCAAACAAATAAGCACGTAAATCAACAAATCAAGTCGTAGTCTCAATGAAACATGAAGCAGATGACGCTGAACGTTGTGAGGCGCTTATTTTTTCAAAAGGAATTTCACTCTGAATCACAACAAAGTACCTATTCGGGTGCTTTCACACTAAACTTCCATTTGAAAAGGCAAACTTCCAATAATGAGTACATCGATTCTCGACAGCCATCCCATGTTTAGTCGAAATAAGTTTTACTCCTACGATGAACAATTCCTAGCCTAGAAACAAACCGATGCACACTAGACAATGGGCCCTGATTCGATGGAGCCAGTCACTTAACTGTCAAAAATAGCTCCTTTTTCGAATAGAAAACGCACTGCCTATTACTGTTCAAACATGTTCTCGCAATGACAAGGACTGATGTTGTGGATCCTATGTTATTTGCTGACCGTTTCCGTTCTCCATATGCACAAAGCGTGGTACGCAATGGGAAAAAAATCGCCGCGAGAACACATGAGGGCATCTTTATCTAATGCGCCACACGTGTCATTTTACATCTTAGCGTTGCAGCCTCAAACGTCGTCTTAAATAAAAAAGTCTATACCTCAGGTGGAGTGTAATCGAAGTTGGACAATGCATCGATAAGCCGAAACAGCTCACGCATTCGCTTCTCTATGACCACGTGCTCCTCGTTTACCGTATTAGACGCAGAAGCTTCCTGTACAGGACATAAGTTAAAGATGTCTCAGATCAGACGTGCTGCAATTGACCAATGGATTGTCAACGCTCGACTCTGTCGAGCAGTGAGTGTCAAGCGCAAGTGACCCGCCCGATCTGATACCGATGTCGATTGGTGTTAGCTGATGTGGGCCGAGCTACCTTTGGGTGAGTCAATCGCGTCGGGTCTTGATGCACATTGCCTTCAAGAAAGAGCGACAGCATTCGCGCGATTGCCTAATCGCGGAGGCAGTGGCACCGAACACTGCTAATAGCCCTTGGGCTGTTTAAATTGAGTTAAGAAAATCACTTCCTGTATAAGCAGAATAAACAAGATTTTAATTGAGTAGAAAATCATTGAAATTAGAAAAGGATCATGTAGAACTGACCCCAGCCGCTTTCTGATACTCCTTCTCATAAACCTCTGCCAAAGATGTTTTAACAATTTCTTGTTCTTCTATGGCTTGATTCCTATATGGTTCAGTCCGCTCTTCTACGCGTTTCTTACGCACAACATCATCAAACGCCTAGAACAATAAATAGAGTTACTTGCGATAAGATGAACCGGTTTTTTCAACTGCTTTATATATGTACTGGCCAATAACTGTAACCGACCTTATCCTTTATACGCTGTTTAATCAGATCTTCCAGCTTTTCCGTGAACACTTCTGTGATTTCGGGTGCTTAACATGCGTATTTAGTGGACAACCGAAATGGAGTACTAAATGAATGCTTCTTCAAGAGTGTTAACAGGCTGTTCTGACCTTTCTTAGCGCCATGATCAAATTGGACGTGTGTTTCAAGCAACTCATTTTCTTCACGTTGTTGAGCTGTCACTTCACCGCTCAGTTGCCACGATCTCGGTGCGAGATTCTCCTGTTCCAATTTGGCTATCGTTTGTTTTAACTGAAATTCATACAATTAGAAGCTTAGCAAATACAATCCCTTCTTTTTTCATCGAACGGTAGACCCTGGTTTCCTGTGCAATCCATAACATAGGGGCCAGAATACACTGGTGAATTCGGGGTCCTTCTACATCCCTTCACTCACCTCCCTCTTTTCGCATGCCCATCTCTCTTTGGTAATTGGAATGATGGAAAGACTCCGGTGCAAGTTGGTGCTAATTGTGCAGGTGCGAATTCGAGCTAAGATCACTCTCACCTCAACTGGCATCTCCCTCAAGCGGAAAGCTGCACTCAAACGAACTGAGAACTCGACGAACTCACTCGTTTCAAACTTTTCTTCAGGTTAGATTGCGGTTGTTCGGATTGTTCCTCTTCACCTAGTAGCACTGGGCCTTGAGAAACCTCAGCAGGTTCTTCGTGTGCTAGCTCTTCGTTTCCATCTTCCTCCTCTTGCTCTTCAACATCCATTGCAAATCGTACAGACTTCTTCTTGTTACGCCTGGATCAATAAATCAAATGCACGTCAACGAGAGCGAAAAGTCATCGAATAGAATCACTAGCTCAAAGAACTAACAGCCTCTTCTCATCAGCATTGCGCTTCTTCTTTCGCTCTTTCTGATTTGCTGACTCACGCTCGTCAATTGTGTCTTTTCGACCGAAAAAGTCTTCATAACCATAATCAGCTGGAGCCGTTTCAGAATCCTGAGACGAAGAGACTCACAAAGAAAACGAAAGTCCAAAGTCAAACTGTTAAACGTAATCGAACATCAGAAAAACGAGAAGTGATAGCGTCTCGACGAAACGAGAGCAAACACCCACATCGACTGTGTCCAATACACTTGGGCCAGTTCCTTCCATACGGTCTTGTTCATCAAGAAAAGCAGCCATTTCAGCAAGACTACAAAATACGACTTTCCACAACATCATTATGCTCAACTTGGAAGAATCAAGCACTTACCTGAAGAACTTATCATCAACAGCGGATTTTGGATATTTCTTACGTGGTTTGCTGCTCTCTTCTACTTCTTCTTTCTTCTTCTTCTTCGCGCATTTCGTCCATTTCATGTTCCAAATCCTTCAGATCTTCATCACTAGAAAATGCTCACAATCACACCTTTTGAAAACATAACAGCGAAAAATAACATTTTAAGGAAGAATACTTAGAAATATGGAAATATGCGAACACTGATTAATCAAAAAAAATCAAGTTTTACAAAGACAAAACAGTTAACATTGATTCTAAACAACCTTGAACTAACTTCAAATTCAGTAAATCGGCTTCATTTTCTTCATAGTTTTCCTCATCCTCATTCATCTCCTCTTCTTCGTCATCTAAGCTTTCATCTTCACTGGATACTATGTCTTCTTTCAGCTTCACATCAAGTTCCAACAAGTGCTATAAAATCACTTTTACGACCATGCAAGAATGCCTACACAATTCATTGGCTTCCTCCTCTTAAAATCTTTATTCAATTAAATACTACATAAATCATTCCAAATTGTTGACTATAGTAACTGCGTTGACATTCTCTTTGGAAAAGTAACCTACTCTTTCACGAGTTCTCTACCCCCAAGAAGTACTGAACAGACGGAAGAAGGCACCGACGCAAAAAAAACTGCATCACACCGGCATCAAATGATTCACCCATCTTGAGCATTTTATCTAGCTATTCCTTACATGAGTATTTCAAACAACAATTTTCACTTGGGAGTTTACGATGGCAGTAGCAACCGAAAGAACATTGTCAACTATAGACAAAAAACAGAATCCCGAAGAACTCGGGAACAACCCTCTATACGAAAAAAGAAAAAAAAAACTCGATTGAATCGGTGAGCACCGCACGTGGAACTCATTGGCGATCTTTGATTAGAGATGATTAATGAGGGAAAGTCAGGCCTTCGTGCATGAAATCAGCCACTGCCTTTGATCGCCAAGCTATAGTCGAAACGATAACAAGCAAAAAGCAGCTGGTTATTGGTTTGAACTCAAAGACCCATACTAGTACATAAGAACGTGCCAAAGATGAAAAAACCTGACCTCTCTTTTGCGGAACTCCTTGATAATTTGCTTGCCACTGTGCGATATGAACTGCCACACTGTTTCCAAATCGTCACTGAGAAATTCAGCGGGCAAATCATCCTTTCGACTTTCTACCTTGCTTGCGTACGCAAATAGACAAGGAATCGCGTTATCAAATGACCTACGGTAGAATTTCGGCCTGAAAACGCCAGTTTAAAACACTGCTCTTACAAGACTATAGGAACTAATGATAGTTCTTCTTATTACATTGAAATTCTCGCTAATTTTATCCGAACATCGCAAAATCACATTGTTAACACATGAAAATTACCCCATTACTGCGTCGAGACTAAATCGCTTCATTCCCTATTAGAAGTGGATGAAACCACATAAAACATCACAGAGTATCATAAAAATGAAAGAGCTAAGGTATTGATAATATAAGACAAACGACCCTAGAAATTTGCAAAAAAAAATGTTATCAGAAATCTGAGGATCAAGTTCAAGAATAACTGATGAGGAGGCGAAATTAAAGCTTCCCAAAAATGAAACATCAAAGAGGCCAACTGAGGTGAATCGAACATAAAGCGGTAAATTGAAAATATTACTTTTGAACAACTTCTTGAAGGAGTCCAACTCAACGTAACGCTCGGTTTTCCGAATGGATTCGCCCGGCGTCGACGACTTTTTCTGAAATCGCAACTAATCGCATTTGTAGGCAGGCACCATATCGAACACACGCTTGTGAATCTATCCACGAATTTCTCGAATCAACGCCTATTACGACAACATAGGTTGTGAAGCGGGCTAGAGCTTCGGCGGAGGAAATCGGTTGAAAATCTCTGGAGATTACGAACCTTGAACATACACAGGTCTCTAAAACACTTAATTTTTTCCAACACTCCAAAAATAACCTATTAACACGTTGGAGACCGCGCATGTTTTACAATTTGCGGCCGCCTTGGACTTCACAGGTGGATTTTTTTAATAATTTTATCAATCAAACTGGGAACAGAAGCCCATTGAATGGTTCAAGAAGAAATCTTATAGAATGAAGTGGAATGGAAAATAAAAGAAAAATTCAATACTTCTATCAAAAAAAAAATATGGTTGTATGGTCTCAGACGGTTGACAGCTGCAGCCCATGTATGGGCTGCATGGGGGTGATAGCATTCCCGTAGAGTACATGTGAACGAAAAATCGCCTTTCAGACTTTCTTTGTCTTTCGAGATTGCCTGAATGAATGTGTAAAATTAAGCACAAATAAATTTAGAAGAATTTTCGTTCCCCTACTTTAAGAGAAGGAAAGACGCATATTATTTCAAGCCTTTCGAATGAATTGTTGAATTATATTATTACTGTTATGTCATATTTTCGAACAAAATGAGACTCCGGAGCGATTGTGAGGTGAAGCGACTAATACTCACGATCACGCAGACAGGCAGAGTAGGCAAAAAATCAAGCCCCCACAATGGATTGACATGGCTTAAACATTCGAAACAGTTCGAGTGTCCATATCTTTATCTTCAAAGTATCCACAGACGCCAGAAATGTAACAAAATGCGCTAGCGTTACCAACAAAAAAGTTTAAGACACATTCAGAAAAGCCGATGAATTGTAACAACCTGAGCCACCCACATTTTATATGTCAATCAGCGATACGGCCCTTTGGGAAGTCCATATTTTGCAGTCCTTTGAGCATAAGAACGACGAAAACAAAAGGGAAGAGTTGGAAAATAGTACAGCCCAACATGCCGTGTTGTTATCTACAGACTCGGTACAAAATTGAAAAGAAGAGGGTTCCCAAAGAAACAAAAAATTTAGCAATGACTGATATGTAAAATTTTGGTAGACTACTGCTGATTGATTCTGTTGAGTTGAAATATCCACCCAATCAAATTAAAGTAGCCACGAGAAACAGTGGAACTAGCACGAGACGCACGACCTTGACCAGTTATGGAACCGGAGTTTCCCGTAAGAGCCTAGGCGACCTTGTTATAGTGGTTACAATGGTATCAGCGTGATCAGCTGGTACCTACAGAGGCCAGCGATCGATGAAAAGACGATTTGCGATTGGAAACCGACACGGTACGCGTCAATTTACCGCCATGTAATCTAAGCTAATCAGTGCGACGACAGCGTGAATTGCTGAGTGCGCACAAGTGACGCCGGCCACATTCGCTGCGGATCAAATACGCTCTCGCTTCGGACCACCGGCGCCGCCAGCGCCATTGCTGCTGCTGCTGCTGACGCCTCCACAGCGAGCGCTGAGACTGGCGATGGGCTGTGGACTGCATTGCTGAAATGTTGAACGAGGCGATCGTCACCGCCACCACCATCGCAATCGATCGCGCACGCGTCAATCACACGGCGATTAAGCTAACGCACT